CCGCGTAACGAGACGGATATAAACACACACAGGCGGCCGCCGCCACCACTCGGGCCACGGGCAATATGGCGTCCGCCTGGTCTAGCAGCCGGAAAACCGACTGGCTGGCAGGAGTGGAACGCCCGGCCCGGATTGGTCCGCCGGCCGCCACGTGACGTCACCCGCTCGTAAGTAAGCTCGCTCGCTCGCACCCGCTCCCCCTCCCGCGCCCCGCGCCCCGCGCCGCCATCGCGCGCAAACAACCCCCTCGTGCACCTGCCGACGTCCCGACGACGTTCGATTGTTCCCGGCTCTACCCGATAATCGCCCTTCGCCGTCTCACCGCGACTCTCTTTCCGTCGCTCGGCCACGCTCGCACGCACCCCGTCCGGACACGAGCGTGCGGATACGTCGAGAGATGATTATTTACGAGCGGAGCCGGCGGGAGGCAAAGGGACACCCACAGGCACGTAGCGACCACTTGTAGGGGCGCCGGAAAACACACACTTTCTTTTTATAACGTGGATATTTTCAGCGCTGTTCCCGCTGCTGTTCCTGCAGATGGAAAGCGAGCGCTTTGCGCCCTCAGCTTGGAAAGTTGTCGGGATGCTTAGATTTATCTGTTTCTCCAAACACTGGGCGTTGAACCAAAATTTTGCAGATTGTTCGCACATGTATTTCTTATTAAAAAAAAAATACTCCAGAGCCGTTTCACTGAAGCTATCACAAGTTATAGGAACTTGCAACGATATGGAAAACGCGCGATTGCGTTGATTCGAAAACGCTGAAGCGAATGGAAAAGTCACAAATATACTTCGAAACTCTAGCTATGAATAAATAAGAAGAATCCACGCAATCTTTATCGCCCAAACTATATGAGAAGAGCATATACGTCGAGATCGAATTTACTACTTTTTGCTACAATCTTACGTACAAAACATCCCTAAAGGCCTGCATCCACGATGCTAGAACTTGGCCCAAGTTCGAGTTTCGAGAACGGTGTAGCCAATCAACTTGCAGCTTTTATGGAATAGCTGCAAGTTGATTGGCTACACATTTCTCGAAACTAGATCTTGGACCAAGTTCCAGCATCGCGGACGCAAGACTTAATGAAGGAAGATCGTTTAGCAAAATCAAAATTAACTAAAATTAATTTTATTTACTTTCTTCCATGTGCCAGGAACGCTTTTCTGAATTAGCGATGCTGCTCGTCGAACGTGCGGTGTTGCGAAAGAAGTTGAATTATTTGCGGCCGCGAAAGGTAAGAAAGTTCGCTTAGTGCGTTAAACTGAACGTCGATGTAATAAATAAAATACATTTTTTTTTCCAGCGTCTCGCGTCACTTTATTCACTTGTACGACCGGTGATCATGTGATTAGCGAATTTTCCTGGGAACAGGGCGCAATTTTGCCGTCTTGCCCCCGGCGCCAGAGCGACTAGCGCCGGCTCTGCTCACGTTCGCCGAATTATTTTGAATAATACGCGCGCACAGAAGTCGCGCGCACGTCCGCGACGCGGTGAGATTCGATCGTTCGCGGGAAATGTTAATTGCGGCGGTGGCAATTCAGCGGGGAAATTATTATAAGGTTCTTCTCCTCCTACATTAAAAATGGCGTGTTAAGTCGATAGTCGAAAGTCTCCAAGTATTGTTGCCGCTTTTCCGAGATGCTGATTGGCTGTCTCGCCTGTGCGATACGACATGCTTCAGTCGTGTTATTCGCAGCTGTCAAACCATACGAATTTTTCGAGAGAGCAAATGGCGCGCGCGAAGCGCGCGCTTGTGTCGTCTAGTAATATAAAAATGTGTGCTGCGGGGTGTCGCAATGCGCAAGCCGAGCGGCATAAGGGGAAAAAAAGAGAGATCTATGAATGCTCGAATGTCTTTTGTGCCGCAGACGCGAGAAACGTAGATAAGAAAACGCATTCAAGGCCGAGCTCGGCACCGAAATTGTTTCCAACAACTTCGGATCTCGCTTCCTCCGCACGGAATATCGAGTGACGCGTAATACGAATCTGAATGTATATAAATGTCGCTAAGCGACGCTTGTTCGATACCCGAACGCGCTTTCTCCCTCGCGACCCCGCGACTGAAACGCAAGAGATCCGTTCTAAGGCTCGCGGGCTGCACGAATTTAATTTCATTCGGGATCGTTGGTCACGGGATCGAACCGCGACAAGCGATAATTCGCGAAATTCTTCTCACGCGGCATCGATCGCGGCCGAACTGAGCGCAGCCGCGTTTACTAAAATCCGAAACCTATCGTGCGAAAATACAGTTCGTTCGATTCGTGCTTCGAATGTATCGGGCATTGCGATTCAAATGTTTGCAACTGGTGCGTATGACGTGGCGAATGCCGTAGAATTCCAATTTGCATTTAGGGGGTGGACGCGGAGGCCGCGGAGACCTCTCTGTGAGTAGACGCAAACCACGGATTCGTAATTCTCGCTTTTATATCCGGAATATGACGAATCGCGTTACAGTAGAATCCCTCCGTTCCCTCCGTCTCCATTGCGAATCTCTATCTATAAAATAGACGTCCTCCCTGAAAACACGAGAGTTCGCCTCTTATACAGGGTGTCTGACGCAAGAGCGTCCGGCCTACCGTTCTCTACGCGCATATTCGCTCAGACGTTTCAATAAATTATTCGGTAACTATTGCGAATTTTACAAAATGGCACGTGACTTTTCTTCTTAGTCTGACCCAATCTACCACCATTTTTCGCAAGGGTACTCTTGCGTCAGACACCCTGTATTGCCGTTGCAAATTCTACGCACGTGCCATTACAACACCCAGTGAGCAAAATGTTATCAGTACGCCAGCAGTTTGCTATCGAGAGAGCAAAATGTCACGGCACAGCGTTGGTGCACCAATCACGTCTGCATTAAGGTGGCTCCTGAACGAAGAAGCGGTTAGTTACGGGTGCTTTAGTGGGGCCCCTTTTATTTTTGTAAATTTATTTGACCTTTTGCATAAAAAAATACCACTGGTAGTGCACCGGTAATCAAATGCGTTGATATGCTGGGTTATACATATATGCACATGTAAAAACATATTTAAAAATATGCAATGCCGTTGACCTTATATATTTAATAGCGTATTTCAATCCTTGCAACATTTATTATGTTTATCTCGTTTTTTGTTAAGATCTACTTTTTTTATAAAATAATATTAACCCTCAAAGTGCTTCTGCGAGTGATCGGCCCATAACCCATGTATGTTAAAAAGTATAACTTTAACATTTTTTCTTCCTTTTATTTCATCGGCGAAATTCACCGGGTCTGAAATTTCACGTAGTGAAATAGCACGTAGTAAAACTTACAGCGACGACATATTTGAATTTCAATTTTTTTCTACTGTTTTGATCGGTTTACCCTAGCGGAAAAAATCTCTATAAATAACTACAAAAAATTGACTTGAAATAGAAATTTGTGGAAATTTTTATATCTTCATTGAAACATTTATTTTTTTTTGTAAAAATATCTACGAAATAGTACCACGAATTACAATGTTCTCAAATCAAGAAATTATTGCAAGTAGTATTTCGTGAAAATGTACAATTTTGTAAAAATTAGTACAAAATTTTACTAGTTTAAAAAATTTGAGAAGCAACAAAATCTTGTGAAATTGGTTCTTTTATTTATTATAAATTTTTAAGAAAGATAAAGAAAGTTAAATTGTAAAATTTTCGAAGATGTAGATACAAGGAATAAACCAAAAAGAATTTTGTGAATGACGAATAGTACTTTTCTGCCACAAAAATATAAGATAATATAGGGTGCTTTCCAGCAAGAGACATAGATAGACACGGTGTAACACAGAGAATCATTTCATCCTTGTCTAGCAATGGCAAACAAGAAAGATAAAACGATTCATTGTGTTACACAGTGTCGCCTGTGTACGTACGTTGCTGGAAAATCCTCTCATACAGCACAGAAAGTTAAAATAATGTTGCTGAAACGTTGCAACGTTGAAGTATAAATATATTTTCTACGTTGAATCTAGGTTAATGTTTGTACATTAATTCTTTAATCTTGAACAAATTATTATTTTTTAATACTCAAATAGATACTTAAAAATTGTATAATTATGAAATGTACGCATATATAATATTTTTGTAACGGTCAGAAATTTTCAATTTGGAATAATTCAATTTCAGCACTTCCAACAGTTGTAAAAAATATTCTGCTAAGCGCGACCAATGTTAAACTCAATATAACTTAACAATGTTTTCTGAATGTTGAATTGTAACAATTTACAAGACGTTACAATTCAACGGACATTGGACGTTTTTGCAATATCTTTTCAACGTTGAATCTACATTTCGCAACATTGATGCAATATATCGCAATGTTATAATGGAACGTTTCTGAGATGTTGATTCAGCATTTGTGTGCTGTATTGGCCTATAACACAGAGAATCATTTCAGCCTTGTCTAGAAATGGCAAACAACAGAGATAAAAAGATTCGCTGCTGGAAAGTACATTAAATATATATGTACTGTACCATAATTATAAGATGCAGATAATAAAATAATTTGTATATTAGCGCGTCATTGCTGCATACGATACTTTTCATTACATTACAACATAAAAATCTATAAATCAGCCTCGACTCATGAAAAATTGTCAAGAATTTGACTAAAAAAAAAAAGTTTTCCACTCAACACTTTTTGTTTACTCAGTCAACGAACATCGATCGTCTAAAATTAACTTATTAATATTCGCGAATGAAGGGAGCTATGTTAGAATAATCAAACACGTTATATTAAAATATTTGTGATGCACTTTCCAGTTCAAAGACTACAGCAGTAGCTGCGCGACACATAGCCCGAAACGCGATCAAAACATAACCTGTAAGGCCGTTCGTCGCGTCTCGTCGTGCGCGGTAATTTGATTGTGTGAAAATGTCCTTAAAAAGGAAACTGACGCAGGACGATCTGCGTAAGGCGATGAGCGAACACAAGAAGAAACTCGGCGCGGTCAAGAAGATCGACTCGCCGTTGGCAAAATATCCTTTTTTTATATCTCTATAGCGCAATTTGAGGTTAACACGCGTTTCTTACATGTTACAGCGTTTATATCGCATTGTGCGAAGAAATTGATAAGAAACGCGTCGTTGGAGGTGATTCCCGGACAGCCAAATCTGCCAGTACAGATTTCGTCAAACGCCCACTACAGATTTTGAAGGCAGAAAGACTGCAGATTGCGCGCAGGAACTGATAGATTCGAGATGTTGCCAGAGTGTCAGCAGAAATACAACGAAATCTGCTCGCATAACTGAGCCTGTACGTTTTCCGACGACAATGTAAGGTCAGAAAGGTGGATCGCCAGTGAATAAAACACAAAATTCAAGAGTTGTCGACAATAACTGGCACAGTATATTAATACACGACGAGTAATACTGGTCCTTATCAAGTATAATACCAAGTTCGTTTTCTGTTCCTGCACTAGTGAACTGGTGCAGTAAGCTAGAATGAGGAAAAGTATGCTTGTCTTGCTCTAAATTATTGCACTAGTTCACCAGTGTAGGAACAGAAAGCAAGCCTTGTATTGACAGCGCACGTTTCACAGACTGTTGCCAAAGCGAAAGCCAAGTGCGGACACAGACGGCTACGGTTTTGGTGTAGGTTTCTGATAAATCTGCTGCCAATCTGCTAACATCTTGCTGACTGAGTTCTCACTGTACGATAGTCCTATAAAACTTAAATTTGATTCACTGACTCTTCAAAATCTCACTGTGCTGGTCAAAGCGCATTACAGCACAAATAACGTCAATAAAATTAACACAATTATAAAGTGAGACGCATGGGTGTGTGCATTTCACTTATTTTATTGCTGCATATTGTATTATTCGTTGATGATTCTCCATTCTTGTGACACAATTGATCCTGAAGGTATCCTTAACTGATAAACACGTATACAGACTCGGGGCAGCTCATGTGCATTTTGTGCAAGTCAGTTGTACGGAGCGAAACGGTTTGGCCGGTTCACTTAAATTCCAAGGCGCACAAGGATAATGTCGTGTTAGCGAAAAAGACCAAGCTGGAACCGGAAAGCGCCGTAAGGACACCTAATGTTCAACCGTTCAAAAGGCCTATCTCTCCGTCTCAAGATACTTCGGCGAGTAAAAAGATAAAGGGCATATTGAAAACTTCTAGCCAGCCGGTGGTACAGGCCAGGTCAAATTTACCAGCGGATTTCTTTGACAATAACTCGAAGCAAGTCAATGGTGCGTCTGCTCCGGCGCAAAAGTCAGCGAGCAAAGACGGCGATCCCGCGGTTAATACTGCGGATGTACAACACACGGAGGAGGGAGAGAAGGAGAAAGAGAAAGTAAGAGATACGAATCCGGCTGTTCTGCCGGAAGGATTTTTTGACGATCCGGTGATGGATGCTAAGGTAAGATTGCCACGAAGCACAGCACAGATGCCAATGTACATTAATACGGATAAGATAAAAATATATTTACAATTTTTAATATAAATAGACCACTAATGAAAATAGAAAAAGGTATTAAAGTACAATTTTAAAAAACTGTTGGACCTTAATAAGTATTGAGGTAACGGCAACATATTTCAGTTTCATCTCAAAATTATAATGTTCGTGCCTTATTTCTCCATATTTAATTATGCTATTCTTTTCAGGTTCGTAATGTTGAATACAAAGATCCTATTGAAGAAGAATGGGAGAAATTTCAAAAAGAAATCAAAGAAGAGACCGCGCAGTCTGCACAAATTATAGCCGACGATCAGGAAGAAGCCACGACGGAAAGGCAGTTGGACGAAATTGAGGAGCAAATTGGCCATTGGTCTAGGTAAGCTTATTTCTAGTATAATTTACATTTGAAAAATATTACAAGTGCATATGTAAAGCATAGGAAAAAATGTATTGTAAATTAATTTCTATAAAAGGGTAATGGATCTGGTAAAACGTATGGAACAAGTGCAAGGTACCGATAGAAAGCAAGAGAATATCGATGATGATGCATCAAGCGGTGACGAAGCCGAGTTCGACGAGTTTCTCGACTGGCGAGCAAAGAATTCGTATAAAGAATGAAAAGATTTTATGTATTTAATAATATTGTAAATATTAATCTTTTATCCTTTCTAGCAAACTAATTATTTGTATAAAGTGATAAGTTTTTTCTTAATTAGTTTATATTTAATACATCCCTTTCCTCATTTATTGTAATGAATTGTGTTATAAACTAAAGAGATAGTGCAAAGTCGATTTAAAGAATGTTAAAACTCATAATTAAATATATATTATATATATATATTTATATGCAAAAAGCCGATTAACCGTTTCACCATTTATTATAATTAGTATTGTTTTTTTCTGATTAAACTTTGTAGCTAGTTCTTTTATCTTTTACAACTAATTATTTCCAAATCTTATCACTTCTTCCAGGCGACTAAAGAGGGCGATTAAAAATCAATGCAACTTGTATAGTGTATTAAGATTTTATTAAAACGAATTTTTGAAGAGTCAGAATATAATTGAGTTTTAGATACATTTGGTATAGATTACTTATTGATCGTCGTAAGCTATATAATATGAAAAGTATATGATATAAAGATTACGAAGTACGCTAAGCCGCTATAATAAAGTTAGTATAGATAATTACGACGTAGATCACGTAATTTGACGATATCCATCTTCGTTTTTTGCACATACTGGACTTTATAAAATGCTGAAAATTGGAGAAAGAGGGACTCGCGTATATTTTACCCGCACCCAATCTCATACCGTGTCTACTAAGTACGCTATCGACGCTATTGCGCTTTGACGCGCTTTCAAATTATCTCATGGTACCAGTTTTTTCGACGATACCTACAATACGATTGCAAGCGAGAGCTCCTTGGGATTTCAGTTGCTGTCTAAAATCCCGTCGCTACGTAGATATTACATATCCTTAGACTATTAATGTAATTAGTTGTAACATACAGCTTATTCATAGACTCGTCGCATAGATCAGCATTTACACCTAGATCAAAATGATCTACGCGTCATCGATGCATTTTTATATATACATACATATACATGTACATATAAATATATATGTGTATGTGTGTATACATGTATATAGAGTATATAGAGTTTTTCTTTTTTTTTGTCATTTTGAACGCGTATTATTGAAAATTTATATCCTATTATCAGATCACAATGTGTCGTGAGTACCGTTGACGATCTGCTACTCGAGCAACGGTAAGACAGACAGAAGTAGTTCCGTCTATCTCGTGAATAATAATAAATGCAAAGCATAAAATTGAAGATATATACGTATATATACGACGAACTTTAGCAATCCGCAGAAGCTTAATAATATCAATTAATATACCACCGCATAGTCTCGCGAGAGCAAGCAGTTTTAGCGCTTAGATTAAATCTTATCGCTGGTTACATGTAAGAAGAAACGACTTAACTTCGTCGGCTTACAAGATATAGTAATATCGCGCGGCAATAAACGTTCACGGTGTGAAGTAGGAGTACGTTTTTGGGTGACAATATGTTCGTGCTGAGTTCGAAGTTACACTCAAAAGTCCATTAGGGGTAAATTATAATTACAATTGCTCGCACGGTACTCGATGAAGGTTCGGTTCTCCCGACATCGTTGAAAAATACAATCGCGCTTGCTCGTCGTCGAAATAATCGTCATTTGTACCAACTGCATTGATTATCCGTCGCCGTTCCTCGCGGAACGGGAATCATTGACGGTGAACGTCTGCAATTTCGGGATCCCCAGTGCACACCCGCGTTATCTCGCGGGATACTAATTGCAAGTCGAAACTAATCGATATCAAATGGAGAAAGAGAGACGTTATCCTGAAGTTCTCCGACTTTCGCCGTACGTTCTAGTTAGAAGCTAATTCCTCGTCTTTTCTACGATAGTCAATAGCTTTTCCCTAATCGCGACTACGTTGGTCAATGAACAATAGTAGATTAATTGCATAGTTTGAAATTTCTTTCGTATTCAAAACTTTCTGTGAAATATATATTTTTTTTAAGGGAGGGGAAACGAGCGATGAGATCCAAACACTTCCCCATATTTGGATCAACGGCATCGTTTCCCCTTGCGTTCATTTATTCCTCATTACGATATGAAGAAAATCTCGACCTTTCTAATCTACAGTCGTCATTGCGATTAATTTGGTCGTTGGATGAATCGCGACCGCCTCGGCGGTCACGAGTCCGTCGATTAATGTTAGCGCAGTGAGTCGGTTTGGCACGCGATAATGCGCAATGCGAGAAAACTCTTTTTAGCTGCGTACTCGCTAGAGCCTATTCTCCCGTTTGCAAATTGCTCAGCGAATAACAATGCTCGGGAGCTGATGATTAAAGTCGAAAACTGCTTGATTATAAACCTTGAGACACGCACTGTGTATAAAACGAAATTAGTCCTAACAAGAGAGCGCCGTGTATAATTACACGTTGCTCGTTTATCGTCGCGCAAAGTCGATCCGTCAAAGAATAAGGAAAATCACTTTACGACGTTACAAAGTGTCTAGCGCTAGGAAATGTCGTTCTTCCTTTTCACCCGTGTTATCATCGAGCCTCTAAGGAGTAGAGTAGAGTGTGCAAAAAGTGTTACTTAATTCCTTACACGTTAGAATTAGAGAATTACAAAAGTGAGCGAGCGTCTTCGAGATAAAGAATAGGCACTCTGCTTGTTCCTTCTTTTGCTCCCTCCCTTTCGTCCGTTTCCTTTCGCTTCTTTCGTGGTTCAAGGGCGGAGAAAAAGATCTGTGCGCGCGAAACTCGCTCGCGAATATACTCTTGACAAGTGATATCGGATTAAAGTATACTTAGAATATCGTGTATATATATATATATATATATATATATATATATGTGTGTGTATATCCGCATCGTCGAAGCGTCAGCTACCCTAGAGATAATTATTCTCAAGCTCGAGAAATCCACTTATAGATTTTGTGCAGATTCATTTTGCGCGATCGCTGGACCGTGATGACACAAGTGTGCTTATTAATTCTCTCTCTTTAGACTTATTACATAATACTCTAGAAGAAGGACGTCGCGCGCCCCGGAAATCGCGCGAGCCCGGAACGGAAACCTTCCCCGAATTTCGTTTCCGGGTCGTCCCGATTTCGCGACGGCGACTCCAAAACGGTAACGACCGCTCTTACGCTAGATTCTTACTCAGAAGTACAATTATATTCATTCCGGCCGCCTATCATATTAGATTATGGCCATCGCGCACGCATCCCTTAAGGCCTGTGTCCACGATGCCAGAACCTGGTTCAAGTTCTAGTTCCGAGAAACGCGCGGCCGATTCGACTTTTGCGGAGTAGCCGCACCCCAACGGGAGAAGTGACTCGTCGATCGATGTCGGAACGACGTCGAGTCCACGTCAATTTAACAGCGTCGATGTCGATTCGACACCGTTTCGACGAGTCATCTCTCGCTGGAAAGTTGATTGGCTACACCTGGACCAAGTCCCAGTATCGTGGACGCAGGCCTTTACACTCAGCCGTAGGGCCATCGCACACAGAATGCATATGCACAGCAGAAGACCGTCTAGACCAATAAGCATCGAGCATTGAGTCGCTCATGCTTATTGGTCTAGACAGTCTTGTGCTATGCAGCTATGCAATTTTGTGTGCGACGGCCCTTACAGCGAGTCCCGCGGTGCGTTAAAGGTACACTATCGGTGATAACGGCGCCTTCCTCTTCGAAACGCGCGCGCGCGCGCGGATGGTCACGTGGGATGCATGGCGCGAAAGTGACGAATTTAAACGCGGACGATGTCAGGTGCGGGGCGGTAATATCCTAAGCGAGTCGTTTCGCACGACGCTCCGCGCAGGAGCGATTCCAACAGCAACTACAATGATGACAATAATAATAACGGCGGCAACAGCGACGGTAACGATACAATCACGATAATGCTCGCGAGGATAATCGCAGCTACGTATTGCACACGGATCACAGAGTGGAGACAGTTGCTAGGCATTACAGAAGTAATCTACAGACAGTGCAGATAGTGCCAAGCTTTCATAAATAATCGTGTATATACGCATTTATCAATATATTTCATAGATTCTCTCTCGCACGATACGTGCATGTAAATGTATATATATATATTTATTTATTTAATAATATATATATGTGTATGTATGTTTTATATATTCTGTTTACTCGCGTAGTAAATGGTCGATAAATTTAGATCTATCTCTAGGAACGCGACAGCGCAGGCACTAAATTGTTGAGACACAATCGTACTGGGCTTCCGATTGCTCGTCTGCCTTCACAATTCTATCGCATGTACGGACATTGCAAGCTTACGAGATACTCTTGTGCGATCAAGGATATTCGTATAAAGTGTTTTGTGTCGAAACTCGTGTATAATCGCGCTTCTTGGTCGCTCTACGCAAAGAGATTCTTTTTTTTTCGTTTTCACGTAACGCCGGACGTACATAAGAGTCCAACGGACCTCCGTTGGACTTGACGAGTACACACGCAACATTCGCCGGTATAATGTATGTTTTTTTTTTCCCTTTTGAACAAAGCGAGTCGAAAGCATTTTTCTAGCGAGAGATATGTCGCGTGGGCAAAATCCGACTGGAATTTTGAGACGCGTGTCGCAGAGAAGAGAGGAGTTGTAGGAGGCGAAAGCGATAATGAAGGACAAAGCTTATGATATAATTAGCAACGTTCCCATCTGATCCTACGATACTTAACTCTAAATCTTAGAACTTGTTGTGGATTATATGCGTACTCTTTGGACCGCTACGAACTAGAGATTCATTTTTGACTCTTTCTTAAGGAATTATGTCTCTTAGTATACATTCTTTGTCGCTTCAACCCCCCTTTCTCTTGCTTCTTGCTTCCCCTCGCCGATATCGCGATATCAACATCGAGCTCGATGTACACTTCCACCTGCCTTGTTCAACGAATCGAATTTATTGCCAATACGCGAACGCGAAACTTCCAACTCCGGTCGTGTTTAATTACCGCCGAGCTCGGCGTTAGGGATAAGTTTGGCTGCGAGAAGAGACGATTCTGTCGCGTGAATATTAATTCTGGGCGTCAAACGTCGTCGCAACATATATATACGAGATAAACTAGAAACATGTGTGCCTATTGGTTCTCTAACGATATCAGATACATACTTTTTCAAAAGGAACTGTTTCTCTCATTTTTTTTCTTCTTTCCAAAGCACCTCAGTTTAGTCTGCCAATATTTGATGCAGGTGTAATAACAAAAAACTCTCTAAACCAGAGAGAGAGAAAGAGAAACAAAGAGAGGGGGGCAAGAAAAACTTTGCAACCTGAAAACTCCTCTAATTGCAACGGACAATTTTTACTCTCCCTTTTTTTCGTTCTACGAGACACCTACGCGCATCTCGGGGGGGAAATGTCATCTACTCGTGCTCCGATTAATTCTATTTCATTGATACGATTATTGTTCAGTGCTACGCTTACGATTGTATGTGGCTTAACATTTCGTCAGATCCACTCTCGACTGATCATCGCCGCGTGGCACCGTCCTAGCGCGAATCCGGCAACGCACCTCGCACTCAGTTCCGCATCCCCGAAAACGTGCGTCGCGCTCTCCTCTGGTCCCATTCGCGTTGGCTTGTCGCGAGTCAATCGGGCCGCGGCGAGTCGCCCTCGGACGTGGGGTAGATCGACCGTCGATCCCGCGATCGTCGCCCCCGCCGCGTCTCGACGCACACCGAAAAAAAACTTTCAGGGAAAAGGCATGCGCGTCTGATCGATGATACCGATCAATCGCGTCGACACTACCCGAGGAAAATGAATAGCCAAGACGACGTCAATTTGACGTCATGTTGACCAAATTTATGTCACATTTTCGTCAATACGACATCAAATTGACGTCGTCTTGACCTTTCATTTTTCCTTGGGTACGAATGACTTGTCCTCGCTTCGATCCCTAATGTGATCTACATCGTGAATTCTGAAGGGAAACTATCGCCGCTTGTACTTTTCTTTTAATAGTAACGAGAGCTGGCTGCTGTATACGCGAACCGACAATTCAGTCAATCGCCGCGCCTCACAATCTACGTTACGTTGCGTTTCCTCCCGATTGGTCCCCCGCGGGATGTTCCGCGGGCGCGCGCACCGCGTTCTCCGTACGATTTACGACGGTACCAATTACGCGTTACGTGCGTCACGTGCATTCGCGTTAAACGGAACGACCGAATGCGCGGTGGTAAAACCGCTTTGGTCCGAAAGGCGTGCGCGTGTGTGTTCCGATAATTGTCCATCGCCGCAATTGTCACGTTGGCGCGCTTTGGTTCCCGAAACGATTGAAACAGCCATCACGTGGCGAACGGGCGAGAAACCGCATCGAATAGTCGGGCGAGCAACACAGAGTCACGTTGTCGCGGTGTGAAGAGAAACGAGCGACTATTCTCGCTCCGTTCTCGCGGTGTTCTTCAAACGGAGCCGAGTCTCTCCCCGAAATATCTTGTACGATATTGTATCGAGTCGCGCGCGTCGCTGGTAAACGATTCCCTGTTCTTGAAAACGTTCTCGTCAGCGTCCCGTGCTAAGACGGACAATTGATCCATACCTGATGTAGCCGTGCGATCGCTAATCGTTCAGGTTCTAGTCACAGCTGCTATCGCTAAAAACGGCATGGTAGGCGTTCCATTACTGACAGTTTACGTCCTATCTTGTAATAAGCTACATTTCTTTCCTACTTCTGAGACGGCTTCCCGATTCAGCGAGTCCTATCAGCAAATAAGAGAGATTGAACGGAAACGGATATCCCGTTGATCGTCACTCAATCGTGCTCCACTAGATACGTAGAGGAATATCGAATTATATCAAAAGAGAGACACGCTGAAAAGACCCCCTCCGCGATTAATCTAATCGGATGGTTCTCCTGCTACCGTTGAAACGCAGCGGCAATAGGTACTTAGGCGATCCCCAATTACTGATAATTTATCACCTCGGCCTCGCCGAGATCCCGACATCGGACACGAGTCGTCGGCGTTCACGTCGCGATTTATCTAGGCGAAGTATTTACCAATGACATTTGCATTATCGAACGTTAAATTTTCGTCCCTCAGCCGCTGAACGGAAACTTGGAGACCGAGCCTGGCCAATTTATGTACGCGGATTGGAGATTTATTCACGGACGGCGATCTATGCGATGTAGCGCCGCGCGTTAATCTACGCGGGACTAGTGATAAAACGGAAATGTGTGTGTGTGTGTGTGTGTGTGTTTGTGTTTTCGATCGGAATCGTTTGTGCTAAAGGTGGGTGGTCCTATCTTATGCCTTCGCGTCGAGAATCTCGACGGTGACGCTCTCCAGGACCGGGTCGGTGACGTTGTTCGTATGATTCGGAGATTTGTTAGATTTCACCGAGGCGGCCGAGGCGTTCCCGCTGCTGTTGTGGCTCCCACGTCGCGATCCTGTGCGTGACCCTGGCGACAGAGATTTTCTTGCTAAAGTATCGCGTGCTTTGGCGCGACAGCGCGGCAGCACGACACGAAAAGCCAGAATAACTTTAAGCATGAAGACCTGCGCGGAAGAAATGCATTAGTCAGAGCAAAGTAGTCAATCGTCACAACGGTGAGTGCATGTGTCTGAATGTACGTGTGTCGTATATGTTTAACGTCACGTAATATAATGATATGGGCACGCTACGCTCTTTTCCTCGTCTAGCGAAAGAATTTCAGCCCCGACAATCAATCGGGAGGCGAAAACGTGCTTTGCGAGATCCTTCCTTGTGAATTTTCCACTTCCTCGAAATATACTTTTATTAAGTGCCCCCCGAAAGACGATTACGAACACGTTCATCGTGCAATTCTACACGGAGGGAATTTCCAAAGTTACCCTGAAATGTAATCGTGGGACAACATGGCATTTTGAAGAACTTCCCAGATAACATGCTTGTCTAAAAGACATCTTCAAGACTTCTTTAAAACGTCTTTAAGATATCTTTTAGACGTGTATGTCTAAAAGATGTCTAAAAGGCGTGTTAAAGACATCTTAAAGATGTCTTTTAGACATGCATGTTATCTGGGTTTCGGAGGATTTTATGAAATTTTACCGTACATTTTACTACACTGATAAAAATAATATTACTTTACTCAAGAAAATTATTCATTAAGTGGCTCCTAATAGCTTATTAACTTAAATTTAAAAAATAATTAATTAATTAAAACATGCATTGCTTTAATTTAAGTATTTATTAAATATCAAAGAATAGATAATTTTTAATTTAAAAAATTTTATTTTAATTCCATAAAATGTTTACTAAGATGTAATTTCCACAGCGAAGAAAATTGGATTTCTTATTTAACAAAAACAATTGTTTCATAAATAGTATTCTATATCTCATAAAATCTTTATTTGAATGTAGAAAATGTAATGATTTAAATTAATTTACTTAATATAACACATAGATTTACTTGAAATTTGACATTTTTATTTAAAACAATTTTACGTAAATCTGTTTACTTAGTTTAAACAAATTTTTTGGTCAGTGTAGTAATTATACTTAGCCAGTATATTTTTACTAGTAAAATGTATATGTATTTCAAAAACACTCTCATAAAGTTCTTTAAAATGCCACGTTGTCCCACGATTACATCACTTTCAGGGTAAATTTTAAAAGAAAATTCTCTCCGTGTGTATACAAACTGCCAAACTTCGGAAGTCAGCGTGGTTAACTTTGGTTTGAGCATTAAGATAATATTAATAGCGAGCAGTCAAGAACGAGTTTGCTCTCGACACAGTAATTTCTGCGCCACGATTGAAGTTGTTTGAAAAATCTCACGGAAGTTTAATCTCGTACAGCACATTTTACTTTAATCACCTAACTGGCTAATTCTATCAGAGAAGTAGACGATCTTCGGTAATTCGATCTCTTATATGAACTGGTAAAACTCCTTTAATCTTACTGTTCCATTAAATCGATGAATATTTCATGAGATTATTGCAAGTTTAGCGATTGCCTCGGCGTGATCATGAACTTGGTGCGAAAACGTGAACACACGAATGTAAGTGCACTTCTGCGCGAATCAAAATTTAAACAGCACTAAATCGCACTATGTTTCTACTTCTCGTCAGAGGGAATAAGCTTTTTCGGTAAATGCGCGTGAATGAAATATAAAAAAAAACAATATTTTCCATTAGTGGTCTTAATTATTCGAAGCTTCGCAACTTCGAAGCTTCGAAGTATCCGAAGAAACGAGGAAACTTCGAATATCGAATTTTCGAAGTTTCGAATATTCGAAGTCAACTAATGCATTAAGATATAAGCTTTCAAAGACTAACCTAATTTATCATCTGTATTTATCATCTGTATCAGGCAGTAAAAAGAAATAGTTAATAAGATAAAATGTTAATGATAGAAAATTTATTTCCTTCGAATTAATTGTATTTTTATGAGCGAATGGACAAAAATGTGTCCGACAAAAAGTACATTTGTTTTTTTATACTTATAATGATATTAATTAGTTGGTATTTAATTAGTTCACAGTAATAGTAAAAACGATTAATTTTGCAAAATATGTTATTGTTTTTTATCTTGTTAATACATTAGTTGACTTCGAATATTCGAAACTTCGGAACTTCGAAACTTCGAATCTTCGAAAAATTCGAAAACTTCAATTCTCAAATAATTTCTACGAAGCTTCGAATCTTCGAAGATTCGAAGCTTCGAAATTGAAAATCTTCGAAGACAAATTTCAGCACTATTTTCCAACATTTCTCTTACGTTAATCAATGAAACGAGAGGAGGATTGAATAATTGAAAAAATATTTAATACTCCCCCGAATGTTCCTATTCCCTCTTGATACCACATATCTACGCTTTCTCCCCTCAAAATGATTTCTCTGTGTATGTAGTTACTATCGATGAGTGTGACGTCTCTATGAATTATCGTGCAGATGCAAACAACGATATTTTACTATAGCAAGCAACTATATTCGCAAATTTCAATAAACTATGTTTACAAGAAACTTTCTCTAGTATAACTCACAAGTTACTAAACCGAAGTTGCGACGTGTCCTCAATAGGGCCTGTATAACACTGGATCGTGTGAGATTGTCAACGCTTTCTCGCTTTATTTGTACTTGTACCTTGTTCACTTTTACACGGAAGAAAAAGATGTTGTCTCGATAAGACCGGTGTAATTGAATTGAATTTGTTGAAACAACATCAGTATTAATGAATGAGAAACATCAGCCGGTTGTCTTAATGATCTGGATATTTAGTTCAATGCTTAAAATTGAAATCCACAGCAAATACAGTTGAGCAGATTATTTATGTTTGTGGCAGCCCGTGACGTTGACGTTTCATTCAAGCAACTTAATTGTTTTAATTCAACAGCATTCTTTTCCGCGTACGAAACGGATCGTGCGTGGGAATAAAATTGTGAGAAAAACCAAACTAGATTTGCCCTCTTAAGAAATCATGTCGCATCGGAAAGAATTTTTACAATAGAGCGCCTCGATCAGCGGCATAGTCAAGAACGGTTACAGTTGGGATCTTTAAGGACAACTACTTTAAACGTTGACTGCAAAGAGAGTTGGGTTTCAGTAGAAGACGTATATTGACAAATCAAGGTGCACACACGTCGGTGTGTGCCAACTTGGAATCAAATTAATAAACTGAACGAGAAATTATATATAATTAGATCTACAATATCTATTATTCATAGTCATTTGCTGGTCACGTGACGCGAAATGGATTTGATTTAAAGAATAAGTACACAGAATAGAATAATTCGAATGCCATTTGTACAATTGAAAAGTATAATAATGTTTTAAAAATTAATTCTAATCAAAACATCATAGTGCGAATAGAGAACTCGACGATTCTAGTGTTGGAAAAAGGATAATTCCTCGATTCGATCTAGCTACCCCCTTGGCAGGCGACTGTACATGCGTAAAGTACTAGAAGATTCTGTATCAAGGAGCGTAAAAAAGGCTCTTCTACGTAAAAGTAGACAGGTAGATAAATAGTCACCCTTAAATATAGATACTTGTATGTATAACACACACGCAGTCCTGAAAATCGATGCACTCCAAGTCCTGTCTTTCAAACGAAATCCTCGTAGATGGAGTATGACGGAGTACGTGATGCTTATGCAATCTAATCAAATTACAAGACCACACGCGAGCCACGCAATCATTATCTATAAGTGTGTTCGAAGAATCCTAATCCCTTCGACGGTAGGAAATCCCTTGATTAAATCGATTAAAATAATATGCAAATTTGCTTTCGCATCACGTTACAAAGTTACTATGCAAATTACCATAATGCGGCTCGCCAATCTTACAAGAAAGTGGCAAAATTTTCAGAAAGAAAGGATTTCATATCAGAGTTAATATCAGCTCTCGATAATTTCTTTCACAAATAATCAATATGATTATTAATTATAAAACACGAAAAATTTTTATAATAAAAACAAAGCGTAAAATATATCGATAAAATAAGTAACTAAACACGTAGATTTTTAGCAAATAAACTGAGCTGTATTTTTCTCGAAACATTGTATACGAAATATGAAAATATATAACGAACAAACGCTAACGTTTTTGTATATAATAAAACTTGAGATTTCGGAAACGTCATGTCTATGGTGATTTAATTACGTGACAACTTTATGTAAGTGAATAAAACGTTTCTGAGAGAGAAAAGTTTATAAATAACAATGGCAATCACACGAATGCGTTATAATGCAGAAAAATTAAAAATAAAACTGCACAGCAAAACATTTTATATATATAACCGCGTCTCCCGTGCAATTCTTGTCTTGAATTAAATAACAAATTTCACTCATCAATTATCTCGGTCAGCTCGCAGACAATTTCGAGCTATCTACCGCTGGATTCATCGATTTTCACGAACCTGCACCGAAAATACCGCGAAACAGACAGGAGAGAGTCGCTTGCTCTATTTGAACAGGGCTTTGAATAACAAGTTGCTTGCTTAGTAAGTGAATGAAAAACCCGTACGGCTCATTCTGTGCTGTGAGTGGTGAGAGTGTTTCGCACCTTGCGAGGCGGTCGGCGAGTGGGCCCTCAAGGACACCATTGAAGGCTGTCTCGACGGAGCTCGTACGCTCGCCCTCGAACCGCGTCTCTCAGCGTGTAAGAGTTTGTTCTCTCTCAGCAGCGAGACGTTCATTAGTCGGGCGTTGGGTGTATTAAAGATAGTGCGGTTCTCTCGCCAGCGGGCCCTGCAATTTCATATCGTGCCGGGTGGTTAACAGTTCGGGGCGCCCGCGATAAGGTTGTTTTTATTTAATTCGCATCCAGGTGCCCCCTTTCCGCTTGCTGTCAAAAGTTCAATTCTTGTCGCATGGCGCAATATACTGGCATACTTGTGCGGCGAATTTGGAATATTTTCCAATCGCAGAATATTCTATCACGTAAAACTTACAACACGTTCTGTGAGTTGAAGCGATACTTTCATTTCAGCTTTGAAAATAGACAAGATTTATACATAGTTATTGTACAATCGCGTTTTCTATACGAGAGATGAGAAATTCTGAAATATTAGCAGATATGTACGAATAATCGAGCAAGAGTTTCGTAAAATCGAGGTTGATTTTGCAAACGCCAAAACATTCTACGTGCGACCTCATTTCTCCGTAATGAATGGTACCGTAAAATAATGTTGCATTATTTCCAGCAGGAGCGCGTACACAATAGCATATAACAATATTTTGAGAAACTTTAATTATTCAGGTTGCACGGAAATATAAATAGATGATTATTTTACCGAACGCACGTCGACACTACGATTTCTCGAATAAAACGACAGTCATCCGAGCTAAATGCATGTATTCAACTTTTAATAACTTCAATTAAAGTTGTCGATAGGACGCGATTTTAATTCCGCCCTGCGATCAAACTTGAATTAACATTTTAATTATTGATGGCTGCAAGAGAGATTTATCGAAATCGGGTTGCGTTATTATTTCAAGGTGTTTGCAAATTTAATTGAAGTCTGCGCATGCATTTTCTTAATACGAATTGCACACAATTATTTTTAACGCTAATCGAACTGATCCGCTTACTTGCTGAAGAGTCTAAGAACGACGCAAATGATGACAAACATCAGTGCCATGCCAACGAGAACGCCGATCATTGCCGGATCGATGTACCGGAGGCTGGGTGTCTCTTTGACCTCGGCTGAAAACAAATCGGTCGGTTTGCACCAGGGACCGCGGGACTAGAAGCTCGTAAATTAAGTCCCACATGCCCTGAAGGAATTAAAAGTCAAACGCGCACAGTACTGTCGATATAGGATGAAAAGACGAATTTAAGGAAGAAGGATGTATTGAGCACAAAGAGCCTGTGTGTAAATCATTCACGACAGTTCAGTGTAACTTTGTTATTTCAGTATTCTTTCGTTCGTAATTTTAAGCAACAAACTCGAATTCTTGAATCTCTTATTCGGAATCTATTGTTGAGAGAAGTAAAAGTGATGCAAACTACAATGTGATATTGTACAACGTAATATACATTTGGCAGAGAATTGCAGTTAAATAATTGCGTATATCCCTTTACAGGATCGTTAATCGCACTCGTTTAATGCTTCTCATTTCTGTTTTTCCGCAAGGAAGATATTCTTGGCGTGCGAAAGATATCGGGACCGAGCACGAGTGGCGGGGAAGCGTCATTAATTCCGGCGTTTTCAATTCTCGTCGAACCGTGTCGGAGTCGTGTTGGCACGACAGGATTTTCATTAGAGCTGTCATGTCCTCATTTCTTGAGAATTCCGTTCCTTACCTACGCAGGTTATTCCACCGTTCGTCTGCGCCACCGGGATCATCTCGAAGAGACAGATGCATCGGCCGTCGCGACATTCCGTTTGGCTCACCCGTGCCTCGCATTGCTCGCGGAAAAAACAGGACTCGTTCACATTCGCCGCTAAAATAATTTTCAGAGTAGATTCGCCATAAATTATGAGATGCAAGTAGGAAGGTCCAAGGCTGGATTCACGCTTGGCGGAAAAGCAGAGAGCAGAACAGCAGAAATCCAATCAGAACCAACCAGAACTGTCGCTGGTAGTCGGAAGTTTCCACTTTCTGCCAGCAGAACGTGCCGTTTACTACCAGCGCGAGTTCCGGTTGGCTTCTGCCTTTCCGCTTTTCTGCCTCGACGTGAGTCCAGCCTCTAAATGCGCTGTAAAACAATGTTTGATGAAATACTCCAAACTACTGTGTTAAGCTGGATTCACACCTCGGCAGAAAAGCAGAAGCCAGTCAGAGCTCACGCTGGTAGTAAACACCACACTCTGCTGGCAGAAAGTAGAAACTGTCGGCCACCAGCGAGAGTTCTGATTCGTTCCGATTGAATTTCTGCTTTTCTGCTTTTCTGCCAAGCGTGAATCCAGCCTTACGTATACAGCCACAGACAAAATTAGACACAATCTAAATGTGTTACTTTTGCACACACACACACATATATGTAGATTTGCAGTGTATACTATACCGACTCTAATGCCGGAGAGATCTTTATTGTTTGAAAGTTCGCTCTAGTAAACAACTTATTAAGAATAGAAATTTTCCAGGTATTAGATTACACAGTACAACGATTAGGAGGGTGTGAAGGGTAAACCGCCGACCAAAATCATGTACACCAATGCCTACTAATGCCCAGTGGGTATAACTTTATCCTATTATCTCGTTTTATCTTATGTTATCTCGTTTTATCTTCTTTATCTCTTTAGATTCTTTATAATGCCCCAGCAAGGCCAAATAACACCCACTAATGCCCAGAAAATGCCTAGCAATGCCCGAAATCTGTACACCACAATGTTCTCAGCGATTTACCCCTCGGGTAGGGTGTCTAATAACTTTGTCTATAACTGTACATAAAACTATCTACCCAAAACTTTTCTTGAATTCTCTATGCGTGTATTCTGCGCACGAAAAAATTTTGAAATATTCTAAGCTATTTACCCTAGATGACTTTTAAATATGTATTTCTCTGCTGAACACGTTAAAAATTATCATTTCCTTTTTCTTGTGAATTCATTAATGCAATGGAATTTATTTCTCATATATATATATTAATAATCTTCTTAAGCTTTCGCGTTATACATATACAGTTTACTCGCAACGATAATTGGGTCGACTTGTTTGACTACGAGATTTGCACGGTTTACCGTGTGATATCATGTACGAAATCGCAATTAATGGATATGGCAACTTGGCCAAGAAGGAAATAGAATTATTCTCGATCGAGATAGCACCAGCCCATTTACCGTAGCAAGTGCGCTCGCGTATGGAAATTCATCGCACTGGCATATGCGCAGATTCGCTTCTCCTGGATACAATTTTTCTTCTGTCTCCCGAGTTTTACTCTGTGCGCAGCCAATTAATTATAGCTACATTAATAATCTAGCGCGGCGTTGCCGGAGTTCGTTTCTTTCTGTATATGTTGTCACTAATATTGTTTGTTTATACGCGACACTGTTCCATAACGTTACAAATTGCATGAAAGAGAAGCCACTTCAATTTTCTCCCTATGAATTGAGATTCTCCTTGGAGGTTCTCATATACTTTATATATACGGTCGTAAAGAAACACCACGTGCAGAATGCCAGAAAGCATATACCGACTTACCGTGCCCGCACTTGTCGATATGGTTCGTAGCCTCAAATTCTTCCTTGCAACCGCACTTCTTCTTCGGTTCGCAATAGGAACCATCGAAGCCGCACTCTTTGTCGTCCTGACAGTCGTCGCCAAATTTTTTCTTGCCCCTACCGGATAGACCTGAAAGGGTACGGTTGTTAAACGAATAAGATATTTCGGGACACGTTTATAATTGCATGTTAGGCACTTCTAACTACCAACGATCGTATCTCGCTTATATTTCCGTTACAAAGGGAGATCAATCTTATCCTCAGCAGTTATAGCTTAAGCTCGACTTTAGACTAATAATTCACGTCGACATTCAGAATTAAATTATATTTTTATGCAGCTTAGAGTACAATGAACATTGGAAGAATCAGAGTACACATACATACACAGAAAACATTAAACCATACACATACATAAAAATACACAGCGTGTAAAATAATAAATACAGTGCTATTCTAAAATCTGACAAGATACATCGATTTTCTATAATAATTTGCTTTTATAGTCAGTTGTATGAAAAATTTTTATGTTTTTTTGCTTCTCTTCTAATTCCATTCTTTTTAAAGCTGAAATTTATTTAAAACTTTATCACGCAAGCAATTGAAAGGTAGAAACAGGATATCTTGCGCAAAATTCCGGATCGCGATATAACCACTGAGGGAAAGAAACATACATCAATTTTATTTAATTGTATAATATCAAAAATGTCGGATGTGATAAAATTTAATCAGATTATATACAAATTTTAATGCATCCATTTATAAGTATATCAAATCAGATGTGGTCAGATATAGTCAGATAAAACGGAATAAACATCTGACTATATCTGACCACATCTGATTTGATATACTTATAAATGGATGCGTTAAAATTTAGATATAATCTCACTAAATTTGGTCACATCTGACATTATTTGATACAATTAGATAAAACTGGATATATGGCTTTTTTTCCCCGGGCAAGCAGATATTTACCCGAGATACATTCAAATACATGTCAAAAGAGATACGCTCGTGTACATAAGGGACGCGATAAAACTGGCAATATAATAAGTTATTGCTCGATGTGCACTTTCTCAATTTTCAGTAGTATATTGGCAACACTTTGCAAAAGAGCTGACTAGTCCGTCTTTCAGGGGCACCTGATTGCTGTATTGTCGATGAATAATGGCCCGTCTAAGTTCCAGCCTACGTTCAACCGAGGACCGAAGGACCCTTCTCTCGCATAATATGTGCCGATTCAGAAAAATATCCGCAAGCTTTATAATCCTCGGGAGGCGTTAAAAGGAGTGAAACGATTCCAACTCGCCGGAAGGCAAACTCTGTCATAAATTTCTCGAGCGACATTAAACTGACGTTAAACAGAGCGCGTGTCTCTCGGCTTCGCGTAAAAATGCAATCGCTAAATATTATTGTATAATGGAAGGATGTGAAGAGAATGAAATCCTATAAATTGGATATTACCTCAGGCCTAATTATAAAACTAATAAGAACTTGTTAATCGCTTCGATATACAACTATGCCACTTCGCGGGGTTGGGAAAATTACTTTATAAAAGTATCCAGTTACAATTACAGTTTTTTCGGTAAAAATGTAATTAGTTACAGTTACAAGTTTCTGAAAAGTAACGCGTTAGCCTAATATTATATTTGTCGCACGGCAACTTTTTCAAGCGTGTTGATTGACTGCGGAATAGGAAAGTTCTCGAGCATCTAGAAATTTTATACCTTGTAGCCAATCAACACGCTTAAAAAATGCGTCGTACGACAAATGTAATATTAGGCTTACAGTTTACAGTTACTCGAACAATAACGAATCGTTACTTTGCAGTTACTTTCTTGCAATGAAAATAAAAATATCAAATCTGCATTTGAATTGTGAAAGCGTCGATAAAGGCGTTTCTGCGCAAATGCAAAGCCCAATGCGATCTGTGGAGGTTCGAAATGTATATATAAAGTAAGCATTAATGTAACTATTAAATTAGTTACTAATTATCGACAAAATGTAACTGAGTTAAGTTACAGTTACAGACGGAGAAAAAGTAACGAAGTAAAGTTAGAGTTACCAAAAAATAGTAACTGTAATTGTAACTTCGTTGCAAGTAACAAGATACTTTCCAACCCTGCTACTTCGATATACAATATAGACACAGGAAAGTCCCCTATTATGAGATATCCTCCTAATATGAGATGACGAGGTTTCCGCTAAATTAATAGGCATCGTCTGTTGGTTCCACCATGAATTTGTTGCCATTGGATTATAATCTGTTCGGTGGAAAATTCATTGTTAGATCGTGTAATCGTTGCGAAAAAAGATTTGCGATTGGATTTGGATGTCCTGCTATCTCATATTAGAAGCCTATCTCACGATAGGGAACTTTCCTCTATTATACAAACTGCTCTCTGTCCCCCAGACGGCAATAATAACTTGCGGTGATATTCGTAGAAAGTTTTACTTTTTGTTTTACCTGATTGGGATTATTTTCAAATTTTGATGGCGGCTGTAGCAACGCTTTCGGGAAACAATGTTGCGAACGATATTTATATTCACTTCATTGATTCGGACTTGCATGGAAATTGAATTGCAAGGAAGGGCTGTGCGCGCGGGCAATCCCGGGAAAGTTTACACGCGGGTTGCTAGTTGGCCGACCGCGGAAATTTGATTAGTGCACAGTGCCGACTTCAATTACATAGACGTTTAGATTGATTTTCCTTCGTATTTCTTTTATGCGCGATATACAGACTCGTGCCCTTTTCTAAATCGAATAAACGATTAAACCTGCTTCCCCCCCCGAGGTAATTTCATCAACTGCAATTTAACCAATTACAGTAGTCGCGACTTAACCGACTTTCTTGCGTCCATACGGCGAATGAGGGTTGCGAGAATTAACATCTTTTATAATGAAAAACCGCGGGGCCGAATTCGAAGGGCGAGAGACTTTTACGGAGAGTTCGCAAACTGATAATTTGCACAAGTTTCTTCCCCCGCAATCTTAATTACACCGTATTGAAAATTATCAGTGAACGCCTGGCCCTCTCTGGGGTTAAACAATTCGTTCGCGCGGCGACCTGGAAAGACTGGGATCAAGGGTGGCGACTATTCGACGGCTCGAAGTTAAAATGGCGCCAGGCGGGTCAATCTACGCGTTAAAAGTGGGTCAGTCCGTTTCTATGGCACTCCGCCAATGCTCTCACGTGCAAAACCTCCCGCAGCTACCGTCGCCGCCATCGTCGGTTACCCCGTTTTATTTTCCTTTCGAATTATTTTCCGGTCTGCATACGCACGCCCGCCTGAAGGTGTACGCGTGCACCTCGGTCGTTCGCGCGTGCCCCCTTAATCGGCCTGTCGTAAATCGGGTCGAAAGACTTGATTAAATGCACTGGGAATATCAATGGCAGCGATATTACCTTCCCCTCCGAATATCGATATCTCGAAATAGAAACTGTTATTGCAGTAGCAGGTGTAATTCAGTGCCATAGCGCGGAGCGTCACTTGTGACTGGCTTTATTTCAGACATAATGCGCTGACTTTTTCAACCACTAGGTATTCATGAAGTTCCACGCGGTCATTAATTAATTTTCTGGACTGAATGGATTCTGAATAAACTTCCCCGTTCTAATGCACGCTTTCTTCCGCTTTCGTAATCTCTACCTCGATACAGCAGCGATTTTTTTTCCTCTTCACATCGCAAAAAGTGCAACAATTAATCATTTAAAGAGCAATCAATCTTGTTAATATCGTACCGCACTTTGACCGAGGTAGACAGTAAACAGTTATTTTAATTCTTCTTTGAAAAGTTGTTAACACATTTGTGGGAGAACTTCCATAGCGATCGAGTATTCTCTATTCCGCCTATTAGATTAGCTTGTTTATTTGTGACATATTGTGTTTATACACAGGCAACTAAATTTTAGTTGTAAAATATGGACAGCTAATATTTAGTTGCGACAGCCAAATATTGTGCTACTGTGCCTATTGTGTTAGATGCGACAGCAAACCGTTTGCTGTGGTGTAGAGATTTTTAGTTACGGCAGCAAAATATTTTTAGCAAACCATGATTAGCTATGGTAGCGAAAATTTTTCTCGGTGTACGACGGTCATAGCGGTTGACTTTGCGAGCGAAAAGAGAGGGAGAGACTTAGGCGGGACGAGAAAGAGAGTATCTCGAGCATCCGACGAGCGAAGACGTAATTTTCCGACAAACCGAGAGGACAGCAAGGACATTGTTTCGCTCTCTGCAATGTATCCCATTTCTTGTTCAAGTACGCTTCTACAGCATTGAAAAATGAAACGTTGCGATAACTATTATTACTCTACGTACTATTATTGTTACAAATTAATACAATCATCTCGTTTAACGCTCAATCTTCATTTATTTTGTCAAAGATTATCTCAATTTAATGCAGACTTAATACGCCAAGCTGAAGTGTATAAGCGAAAGTGGGTTTCGCTGTTTTGAGACAGATAAGACAATTGTCTGTTAAGAACTCTCCATTTTCCGAGAGAAACTGTCTTCAAGTAATCTTGTGAAACGTGATAGACAACGTAGATTCGAGACGCGGCGAGACATTCTCTGAGTCACGTGCGAATCTGTCGCTAGAGATAAAAAATAATAGCTTAATATTATAAAAGTTAGAGTTTCCCTCATTATAAGATAGGCTCCTAATATGAGACGGTGGGATTTGCGTTGAATTAATAGGCATCGTCTGTTGGTCTCGCCGTGAATTTATTGTCCCCGGAGTAAAATCTGTTCGGTGGAAAATTCATTGTTAGATCGCGCGCGTAAATGTTCCAAAGAAGGTATGTGAAATTGGGCGCAGAAAACCCGCTATCTTTTATCAGGAGCCTACCTGATAATAGGGGTCTTTCCTCTATATCCCTCCGTTACGTTGTGCAATCTAAAAATTTCCGCTAAAAATACTAAGAGTTTGTAAGCGGCGATACTATTTTTAATTATAGCATTGATAGTCCGTTTTCATGGCGACGCTCAGTCTAGACGGGACGGCGATCTTACCCGCGATTAGCGATGCCATTACACTCTCCTTACACTCTCGTTACACTCTCATTATTGCTCGTAAGTTGGGAAGATTAATCGTTATAAGATGCTCGAGGTGTTCCCATGGACACTTAGTT